GGCCTCGTTTATGTCATCTTGAAGGTAACCATTTTTTGTCATCTTGAAGGTAACCATTTTGTTCCAACCAATCATAAAATTTCAAGCGATCATTTCGATTTTTTTCAGTCAATAGTGGTTTTATTGGTTTATGGTTAGCCACTTTACCCCATGGTTGATGTTGAACAAAACGTTGCACTGTTGAACGAGAAATTTGTTTTTTACGTGTAATGTATCGTTCAGTAAAGTTTAACTTTTTCGCACAACTTCTTGTTGATGAACCCCACTTGTCCTTCATTTTACTGGTTATTAACTTCTTTGATGCTGGTGACAACACAGTTGGACGACCACAGCGTTTCTTTTCATTAAAGTTTGTATTAACAGGTTTTTTCCAGTATCGCTGAACGCTTTTCTCACTGCAGCCAATTGCAGCAGCTACTTCAGCCTTAGACTTTCCTAATTTACCTAACTCAGCAATGCGTTTCTTCAGTGATGCTGTTAAATTTGATTTTCCAATAACTTTACCCATCTAAAAATACAGATGCAGGTACAGAAAATATAGAAAATAGCGCATTGTCCTCTTAACCTAAAGCGGACAAAACTTTTAGACCTACTGGAGACAACAAAGAACTCAAATTGCCAAAAAAATAACCTCAAAGTAAGCTGGTTTAAAACTGAAATGTGTTAGACAGATGTAATTTAACAAAACTTAACAGAAAATCTTGCAATGAATACATTCACTACTTTTCTAGGTCTATTTTTATATAGCACAAATTTTTTTATAATTCGAATTTATAACTTTTACAAACCTCTGGTCAAGTGTAAAATCGAAATTTCTCAAACTAGAGGTTGTTTACTTTTCCGCCTCGTAAAAGTAAACAACCTCTAGTAAACAACTTGCAAAGACATATCAATAAGATCGTATGTTGTATTTTCTTTTTCAGTAAAAACGATGAGTAGTCATAACGGGTGGACAAAACTTACGGGCCACCCTGTATATATATATATATAATAATAATAATAATAATAATAATAATAATAATAATAATAATAATAATAGTAATAATAATAATAATAACAACAACAATAACAATAATAATAATAATAATTAGAGATTAAAGTACCATAGTTCGATAAAAATCATATATATGATGAAGTGATTCAGAAGCACTAATAAACAAGCCATTAAGCAGCTTTGAAAAGTTCGGTTTTCAGTCTTTTTTTTAATGTTTCTAAAGACGTAGCATCGCACGTTTTTTTCACTTAAATTGTTCTAAGTTCGTGGCACAGATGTGTAAAAAGATTTTGTACCAAGCGGTGTTCTTGCTCGACGATGTACAAGTTGGCAACTGTCTGACGATCTTGTGTTGGGGAGCTGGGAGGTTTGAATTTTTAAGAGATCGAAAAAATCGAAAAGACGAATATAATGAAGTGCGCGAATATGCGAATTTTACCAAATTTGATGCAGCAAGAGTTGCACATCAAATTTGATAAAAATTCGTCTTTAAATTTAAATGTTTGATTACTGGTTCCAAATAAGATAGCTTCTGTTTTTTTTGGATTAAGCAGTAGTCTATTTTCAAGAAACCATGTGGTGACTACATTTGCACATTGAGCTATATTGTTTATATAGTCTATCCCTGGTCTGACGGCAGTATACAGTTGAGTAGCATCAGCATATTGATGGTAATTATATCCAAGTTTAGCTATAATGCAATTTACGGGAAACAAAAACATGGAAAATAGAAACGGGCCAATAACACTACCTTGTGGTACTCCATTTGAAATATCTGAGATTGATGATTTTGTTGTTCCAATAAAAACAAAATTTTTTCAATTATGAATGTATGAAGACAGCCATTCGATTGCTGTTCCTGTGATACCAAATTCGTTTTTTGCACGTTCTGTTAATAGTTTGTGATCAACAGAATTAAAGGTTGCGGATATATCTAGAGAGAGGAGGATAGTAATTGATACATTATCAATGTTTGATAGGATGTCATTGCAAAAAAAATTGAGGAGTGCTGTTTCAGTAAAATGATTGTGTCGGAAACCAGATTGTAATGGGTTAAAGTTTACAGACGTAGTTACATGCGGACGAAATCTAGATAAAGTAAGCTTTTCAAGAATTTTGGAAATAGTGTTCAGATTTGATATAGGACTTAGATTGGTTGGCTCAAAATCTGTTAAATCTGGGTTTTTGGGAATCAGTGTTATTTGGACAATCTTGTATGAGGCTCGTAAATTTCTAGAATTAAATGATAGGTTAGCTAGGTGAGCAATAAGATTTTAGGATGAATAGCGGTTTTAGAATGGTTTTTAGATTGAATAAGCGGTTCTGAGAAACATTAACGCAGCGGACCCTGTCGCTGCGGATGACAAATCTAAAGGGCTTGCCATTTTTATGTAGATCATTGTTAGCTTCATTTCTTACTTTTAATAATCTAACGAATTCAGTTTGCTCAGCAATTGTTTATCAGGTCTTATATAAGTGTTTTTATAGTTACCTTTATGTAAATGTTTGGCAGGTGTTACAACTTGGTTGCGATTTAACGATTTAACGATTGTATAAGATCTTAAACTGTCTTAGTTTCTTCTATAGATAATTAAACTGTCTTAGTTTCTTCTATATATAAATATAGCTCTTCTTGACTTATTTTTGGTAATTTTTGAGTTTTCTGATACTGCTTTTATTATTGCAAGATTTAAGACGCTAAAATATTATTTTTAAAACTATTCTGCTCTCACTTTTAAAGAATTTATATCAAAAATTATATATATATATATATATATATATATATATATATATATATATATATATATATATATATATATATATATATATATATATATCCCAAGTAGCAAACAATATTGGCGTAATATTGGCACAATATTGGGTATCTTAGCTAATCTTGGCCAAGATATCCGATATTGCGCCAATATTGTCAAGCAATATTACGCCAATATTGTCTTACCAATATTGGCAAACAATATTGGGCCAATATTATCCATTATCGTTTTACTGATATTGTTATGCCCCCAAGCAGCAAACAATATTGGCGCAATATTGGCGCGATATTGTCTACAATATTGGCGCAATATTGTAAACTATATCGCGCCAATATTGCAATGTCAACATTTTGCCAATATTGGCCAATATTAGCGGTACAATATTGCGCCAATATTGTTAAGTCAATATTGGCCAATATTGGCAAAATGTTGACATTACAATATTGGCGCGATATCGTTTACAATATTGGCACAATATTGTAAATACAATACTGGCCAATATTGGCCTAATAAAGTTATATTGTTTTTAGTCTTAAACAATAAAATGTTATTTTTTTAAATTTTTTTATTTATTCGCCAGAATATCTAAAATGTAAATTTACATTGAATATATTACCGGCAGGGCTTCTAGATGATCACAGTTCTATCTAATATGTAAAATAAATACCAAAAAAGTGGGCATTTAAATGGGTCAAAAATACAACACAATATTCTATCTAATATGTAAAATACAAAAATAAAAAATTATATATAAATAAATACAATGTTCTATGTAATATAATATATTATATCAGGTAGAACATTTTATATTTTTATATACTTTTTGTATTTATTTTATATATTAGATAGAACATTTTATTTATTATATTTGAAGATAGAACAAGATAATACAGAGGGGATGAATTGTTTAACCCGAAAGAATAATGCAGCCTATAGTCTATACGATATTTTTGTATATAGTTTAGACTATAATTGTATATAACTTGAGTTATAGTCTAGAAGGCGATAATAATCTAGGAACGCTTTGAAAAAATGAGACTTTTTAAAATCTAATGATAAATTTATTAGAAGTTATATTAAACTGATACAAATGAATATATATATATATATATATATATATATATATATATATATATATATATATATATATATATATATATATATATATATATATATTACAGCGTTACACTCTCACTATCAGATAGTGGGCATTGATTTTCATTATCTTGGCGACATTCATTTTCATCGCTCAATAGTGGGCTTTGCTCAATTGCGGTTCTATTCTTTCTTCCGCCTTCTCTATCAATGGCCGTTGCCAGAAAGCTGCCGATTCTTTCTTTAATGCTTTTGTCATTAGCGTTTTCAAATTTTTTTCATGGCAACTGCAAACAAATTTTAAGTTGATAATGTTAAACAAGACATGAACAAAATGTAATCAAAAATTATCAAACTTATTAATTCAACTATATACGAAGATAAATAATTAAATAAATTACCTATAACCACCTTGCACCTTGTAAGAGGCGAAAATGATTTCTTTTGTTTCCTGCCATACATAAAGTATAACAAGCATACTTTTTTAGCCATTATTTGTTTTAAGATAGCCGTGGTAAGTTGCTTGTAATCGTCGCCTCCAACCGATGCAAGGAAGTTCATCTAAAACAAAAACAAACAAAAAAAAATCGAGTTTGTTTATTATTATATTCAAAAATATATAATTGGTTGTAATAAAAGTTTAATGGTTCTATAAATGTGTGTATTTCGAACAGGTTTCCATAATGTTACAATTTCATTATCTATAATGAGATATTCAAAGATGACACGGAGAAAAAGCAATTTGTTATAAATAGATGCAATCCCTGAGGTCGACCTGTTTTGGTGATCAAGACTTATTGACATAAATGTTTTATAAAGTGATAAAAACACTAAGAAGAATACCACACAAAATTTTATACAGGTTTATGAGCTTCTCATACCCCTACCAATAATTACACAATATATTGTGTAAAAAATCTGATACTATAGTATCAGATTATTCATTCAATATTGTCATGTCAATATTGCGTCAATTATTCATGTCAATATTGCGTCAATATATTGACGCAATATTGACATGCCAATATTGGCCAATATTGATATGCGAATATTGGTGCAATATTGTTTGCCTATATTGGCCCAATATTATTTTGTTTTCATAACTCAAATATTGGCCAATATTGACATTTTTACATATTGGTACGCATGCGTAACATTAAAAACATTTTTTATTTAAAAACAGATTGTATCACGAGAAAAAGTAGTAAAAGTGAAGAAATCCTTTTAATTGAAAATTTAGAGATTGTATCACGAGAAGAAGTGGTTGTAGTTCATTTAGAAACAGATTGTATCACGAGAAGAAGTGGAAAAATATTTCTGTATTATAAGATAAAGGTTGAAATAGTAAGTTTACTTTTATATAAAAACAATTTGAGTTAATTGCATCTGCAAGATTTGTATATATATTTGTTTTGTTAAAGATATTCAATTAAGTAACAAATACGTCATATGATTTACCATTTAATAAGTTTGCAAATGAATAAATTTTTAAAAAGTTATTAAATCTAGATTTAGGTTTATCTATTTTTTATTTCTTTCTTTTTTTTATCTTTTTTATTTACTTTCTAACTGTTTTAAGGTTTTAAATTTATGAATAGCAATTACAATATTATAACATACTGTAAAAATGCTGACACTGACTTGACACCTAATAATCTCAGCCTTGTGGTGTATATATATATATATATATATATATATATATATATATTATATATATATATATATATATATATATATATATATATATATATATATATATATATATATATATATATATATATATATATATATATATATATATATATATATATATATATATATATATATATATATATATATATATATATATATATATATATATAATTTAAGTGATATCTTTATTAGTATGTATAATAATATTATAACCATTAAAACATCATATACAGTATCATAATATTTATTTCTTTTTTTACGTGATATTTTGGCTCATTAAGTGTGAGCCATTATCAAACTAATAAAACCAGTCAAAACTGTTTAAACGGTTTTATTAGTTTAATAATGTCTCTCACTTTATAAGCCAAAATATCATGTAAAAAAATAAGTAAATTATATGATACTGTATATGATATTCTGATCTTTGTAATATATATATATATATATATATATATATATATATATATATATATATATATATATATATATATATATATATATATATATATATATATATATATATATATATATAATGTATAAGTGTAATACAATGTTATAGGTAATGAAAAAATCAATAACTTGAACTTGACCTGCTAAATCACATTATATTAAAAGATTAGTGAAGCAACATTTAAATGAAATTCACTTAATAAGTAATGCTAAAAATACAAATGAATTACTTAACTGCGAAACTGCAATAAACTTCAGTGATGAGTCATTAATCATAATATGTTTATATAAACATTCTTATGATTATTTGGCTGATTGAAATAATAATAACAATAATAATATAAAATAGTAATAATAATAGTAATAAAAATGATAATATTAAATAATCGTGTAAAAGTAATACAAAAGTTATAACAAAATTTAAAACTGTTATAGTTTTACAAAGGCTATTCTTTTTTATATTAGAATAATTATTTTTATTTTAAATAAACAACTTTTGATTTTAAATTCTTTCTAAAATGTTATTTATTATTAAATTTTATATTATTTTATATTTATAATTAAATATAAATATAAAAAAATATAAATTCACTTCCAAGCCCAACTTCAAGTGAATGTGAGTTTAAAGTTTTGAAATCAATATAACAAGAACGTATTAGACTCAAAACAAAAAATCTTGAAACGCTTCTTTTTTTAAAATACAATTTAAGAGCACTTTCATATACTACATATTTATGTGGGGCTCCTGAAGACTTTGTACCACCTAATTTAAACTATTACAATGTATGGGATCCTGAATCTATATATATTTGTGATTTTCCTATATTTTTTACCTTTCATAACAGATTATTTAACTTTTATAGATTTTTTATAGATATTTTTATAGATATTATTTAACTTTTATAGCTTTTTTTTAACTTTTTTTATAGCTTTTTTTTTAACTTTTTTTATAGCTTTGAAACAGCTGCTGATAGCGATGAAAAATTGTCCATGCCACCAGCTAAAAAGTTAGCAGTTTGTAATACAAGTGACACTGAGGAGACATATCCATCAGTTTCCCCAATATTGAAGAAATCTTTTAATTCCCAAAATATTTTACAACCCACAACTGTTCGATATATTGAGCCATTTAGTTCGAATCGTTCTCTACTGATATTTTCGTCTTCTGATCAGAGCTTGGCAACTGTTATGGCTGCTTTAGGCACCCGATTTCCTGGTAAAGGATTACCTTGATGGGTTATTTGTTTGAAGGTTGAATTAAATGTACTCTTTAATATATTTTTGAATGTAATTATACTATTTTTTTCTTAGTTTTTTGCGTTAACTTAAATAAAAAGCTAATCTATTTAATTGGTATTTATTAAAGTCAAAATTATTTTTTTATTGCAGCATTTGAGAAGAAAAGTTTAGAGTTGCTTGACAGTATTCAATATGATTTGAAAAAGTTAAACACTTGCCTAATCAATTTAGAAAAAGGTTTAGTGTTTCCTTCTGTTAGCAATCAGAGCATAGCAGGACCATCCCCATCAGTTAAATGGAATTATTTGCCTGTTAAAGAGGAAAAAGAACTTCTAGATTTTAATTAAGATACGGAAAAGAATGCTTTATATACAGTATATTTATTAAATTGTGTTGTGGTTTTAACCATTTATGCCCAGTTAACTCATTTAGTAGAGCAATCAGCCTACTAATCATAGGAAGCCTCACATTAGATACTTGAGATTGCATTCACCCCGATTTTTTTACTGTTGTAAAGACAACCTATGCTAGTGAATGAATAATCTGATACTATAGTATCAGATTTTTTACACAATATATTGTGTAATTATTGGTAGGGGTATGAGAAGCTCATAAACCTGTATAAAATTTTGTGTATATATATGTATGTATAT